TTCTCATAAAACTCTTAAATTTCCCCTAGAAATGTTGCATTTGCTTGCAAAATTTTGTGCTCTTGCAAAAATTGTGTTCCTAAGAAACTTTGCATTTAATCACAAAACATTTGCCTGTCTCGCAAATGTTTTGTGTTCCCTGACAAACTTTGCATTCACTCTTAAAACTCTTTGAATTCCCACATGAAACTGCATTTGCTCACAAAACTCTTTGAGTTCTGCCTCAAAATGTTGCAATGGCTCACAAAATCTTGTTCTCTCGCAAAAGTTTTGTGTTCACCCGACCAACTTTACTTTCACTCGCAAAACTTTTCCATTTCCCCAAGAAGCTTTTTGCATTCACTCGTAAAACGATTGCGCTCTTTCACAATTATTTTGTGTTTCCCAGAAAAAAACTTTGCATTCTACTGTAAAACACATGTAATTCCTCAAGTTGCTCACAAAACTTTAGTCTTCTCCCTAGAATCTTTGCTTTTCCTTGCAACACTTTTGTGTTCTCTTGGAAAAATTTTGCCTTCCCTTAGAAACTTTGCGTTTACTCGGTAAATGTTGCGCTGTCATGCAAATGTTTTGTGTTTCCCTGACAAACTTTGCATTTTCTTGTAAAACTCTTAAATTCTCCCTATGAAACTGAATTCACCATCAGAACTTTGGAGTTTTAACTTCCACCTCATATTATTTCAATCATCTGTTTTGGAGGCAAATATTTGTTAGTGAACACAAAAGTCAGTATGTGCTGTTCATCAGAGGTGTGTAATATCACTAAATCACATGAATATAAAATTATTCTTTCACACTTTATTTTAAGGTCCAGTTCTCGCTATTAATTAACTATTAACTATGACTTTTGCCTCAATAAACTCATATTACTGCTTGTTAATAATTAGTAAGGTAGTTTTTAAGTTTAGGTATGGGGTGGATTAGGGGATCTAAAATATAGTCATGCAGAATAAGGCATTAATATGTGTTAATATTAATATAAGTACTAATAAACAGCAAATATGCTAGTAATATGCATGCTAGTTAATAGTGAGAATTGGTCCCTAAACTAAAGTATTACCAATCATTCATTCATATAGGCTGTGTACTGCAGTGTGACATGCTATACTTTAGATATATTTTAGATAGAGATATATTACATAAATAGTTATTATCATGCAGTTTTTCCACCACATATTCATTGAGAAACTATTAAATGGAATATTGATCTGTTACACTGACCATTTATGAGCACAAAAAGCTAAATTTGGTGACAAATCAACAGACAAATCATGTCCATGTTATTTGTTATACTTACGGTAAGAGGTAGGCCACAATGCAAAGCATTTGTTGAAGAGATTGCATAAATAGGTTTCATAATTTTAAACTTTAGTAACATGATAATTCATTCATACTGTACACTCTTAAAAATAAAGGTGCTTCACGATGCCATATAAGAACGTTTTTTGTCTAAATGGTTCCATAAAGAACCTTTAACATCTGAAGAACCTTTCTGTTTCACAAAAGGTTCTTTGTGGCGAAAGAAGGTTCTTCAGATTATAAAAAGGTAAGAAAGAGGTGGTTCTTTAAAGAACCTTTGACTGAATGGTTCTTTGTGGAACCAAAAATGGTTCTTCTATGACATCACTGTGAAGAACCTTTTAAGCCCCTTTATTTTTAAAGAGTGTATGTTTCATGAATTTTGCTTTAGCAAAGCAAACAGGCACTTTTATAATAATCAAAGAAACAGATACAGTTACAGAATATCAAAGCCCCATTAGTAAAGGGTGTTAAAAGTGCTCTGAAGTGGTTTTAGTTCTGTGTGAGTCACTCATTCACTGCTTTGATTCAGTAGTCATGATTCAGTTGTGCCAGACGAGCCATGATCAGTTTTTAAACTGAGGAACTATGATGCATCAAAAACATGCGTGTTACACACCGCTGACCCAGAATCAATCTTCCTGCATTTCTTCTTTCTCTCCTTTCTTCTTATTTTTCTTCCCAATTTTCAATTCCCAATTTATCTTTCCTCAATATTTGCAACTGTTTCGCAAGTTTGATTGTATAAAGATTTGATGGACTTTTGTCAAGGTGCATGCCATATGTAATTTGACTCGAATGAAAACGAAGCTGTGAGGGACAGAGCATTGAGCTTTTGTTCAAGTTGATGTTGATCATTCAGTGAACAAAAATGAAATGAAGACATAAAATGAAAATATGTCTTGCCAGAAAATTTCCAGTTGCCAAAAAGCACTGGAAAATATATTTAAAAATAAATAAATAAATATGATGTAGGTCATTAGACATCTATCCTGACCCAGAACCATTTGTTTGCTATAAACCTAGGGCCAAACTATTAATAGGGCTTAGTGCTATTATCAAATTGCAAAAGCTGTGATTTAATTAAATAATTACATACGTTGTGTTTTTAAGAGTGCAGCGCGGCACTGTGTTCATTTACATGTGAGCACATCATTATCCACCTGTGTTTGCATTTTGAGTTTGGGATGCTTTAACATGCATTTGGGAACCCAACATGCTTCAGCCATCTTGCCATACTTGCCAACATTTTGGCCAAATTGTGCATCCTTTTTTTTTTTTTTTGTAGTTTAAATCACAATTAGATTTCTATCTATCTATCTATCTATCTATCTATCTATATTTGGATTCAATTAAAATTGTTGGTGCTACTTGAGGTGTAGGTCTGATGAACAATGGCCTCTTAATATGTCTGTCAGAAACAGAAATGTAAAGTGGTAGTCAATGAGATTACACGTGTTTAAACCACAATACTAAGCAAGTGCTGTAGAGGCTGCCAGACAGGCTAATTAGAGCGATTACTGCACAGCTGGATTGGCTGGCTGCTCGGCGGAGGGCGCATCAAAAGGATCAGCGGCTAGAGAGGGTCTCACCTCGACAGCTTCTGCACGGCACATCGTCTGGGTTTCTGGTCGGAATGGAGCGAGCAGTTCCTCTATTGAATGATGAAGAGAACTGAAAGTGCATGAGGGAGCGTTGTGTAAGTTCTTCTGTGTTTGTCAGCTGGAACTGGGATCTTTGCGGTGCTGTAGAAGAAACGGATGGCGAAATAGTGGGAGGAAAACTGTGGGAGAAAGAAAACATAAACAGCCGCAAAACTCAAAACATCAGCTGATGTAGAGGAAGCCCGGTTTTGTTGTATTATTTGGGTTTTCGCCTTCAGATATAGCTTTTCTAGGGAGAAAGAGAGTCATATAAGGCTGAGATTTGCTTAATCGTTGTTACGATTCGTCACATTGAATCAGCATCAGGAAGGTCCGTCCCAGTTCTGTGATTAGGCAAGGCAAGGCAAGGCAAGGCAAGTTTATTTGTATAGCACATTTCATACACAATGGTAATTCAATTAAGATTACTCTACACACATCAGCTACACGCCGCGCATTAACAAAGACAGGCAAAACGTCTGTACAATAAAAAAAATAAAAACTTTTTGGAGCGGTTAGCATGCTTGCTCCAACATGTTGACCTGTGGTACAAATTTAAAGCCACTTTGCGTCATTTCCTAATTCCATTTCCTCCTCTTTTCTCCTCCAATTCTTATACTCTCTACCATGGATAGAAGGAAAAAAAGTATTTGCTATTGATTGTTCAAATGCGGAGTTTTGCGCAGCGCAGAGTAGCCCGTTGTGTGTGTGTGTGTGAGGGGTACAGGGTCACATCACAGGAGAGTGAACTGCCTGTCAGAAATCATAGCACGTCAGCTGTCTTAACCGCGGCTTGTGTACTGCATCATCACTGTGTCTGTCACGCGACTCTGTTGCCCTTTCGGGCTTGAACTGATGGTAAAACTAACAACATTATTAACTGTCTTGATATTTACTTTGAAAGCTGAAGCGATTATGGTAAGGGGCGTTACATTTCCGACACGTGCTTGTGGTGTTCGGCCAATCACAATGCACTGGGTCAGCTGGCCAATCAGAGCAGACTGCGCTTGTCAAAGGAGGGGGCTTTGTTGAAAACGATGTGTTTGAGAGAGGCGGGGCATAACTGTGGTTACAATTATTTATGAGATTGTACAATACATTATAAGGTGCATTACAAGGCATAATTAATACATTGAAATTACTTGCATTATATATAAAGGTGTGTACTAAAGTGCAACTTCATTACAAATGTGCAATAAAATATATTTAAATACATGACAAATGAGTAGAAATGACATTAAAGTATATTTTAGTTTACAATGAATGCTTGTCAGTGCATTCAGCAGTACATTAAAAGTACAATAAATGTAATTCCGAAATTTCATATAAAGATACTTAAGTGCAAATAATTGCATTCAATATGAATTCACACACTATAATACATTTTCATATAATTGCATGTAACATGCAATTAGTGTCCGAAAACATTACATTAATTTGCACTTATGTGTTATTTTCATAATAAGTACTCTTTTTAAAAGTATGCTAAAGTGTTTTTTCACAAGGGTAGAGCTATGTGCTATGTGATTGTGTGTGACCTGTTTTTATTGTGTGGTTGCTAAGATTGTGTCGTAAAGGGTTTGCTAGGCGATTGCTTACTAGCCCTTTTTTAGTGTAAGTCTGAGGGATTTTCTTCACTTATAATATCATCTAATAGCTAAAACTTTTAATCACTTATAAGAGTAACACCTGTCCTCAACAAGCTGCACAATTTTCATATCACTCATGTCCGTAGAACAAACATTTGTGGGATAAGTTATGCACTGAAGTTTAATACTTAGGGGTTTGTTCAAATTCCTTACCGTACAGTAGTGATACTTGTCTTAGCTTAGCGTTGCTGTCAGTTTGTCCAAGTAGCTTCCATTATTCCAATCCAACTCTATCCCTGTGGTCAAGCTCATTATGCTTCCTAATGAACCTCTACCAGGGTCTCAAAATAATTCAATTATCCAGCACCTAGTGTACCAAACACTGTCCCTCTACAGAGCCCCACTTTCTTCCCTGAGTAAACTCTCTCTCTTTCTCTGTGTCTCTGTCTGTTGGTCTGTCTGACTGCAGCAATCCATCTGAGCAGCAGCATGGCTCCTCTAAGCCCCCGCTGGGTTCGTCGGCTGTGACCTCTCGTATCCTGCTCCGCCAGCAGCTGATGCGCGAGCAGCTCCAAGAGCAGGAGCGACGAGAGCAGCAGAGACGGCAGAGCTCAGCGTACGCACAGCCCTCCGTCACCCAGAGCCCCGCCATCAACGTCAGCGTCCCCGCCGGCCTGCCCAGCGCCACCCAGGTGCCCATGGAAGTGCTGAAGGTAACGCAAGCCAGAAACGTCCTCTTAGGATTTAATGACAGCACTTTTCCAATTTACTGCATGTTGCCTTTATGTTGTAGTTGCTTCACTTTCTAAGCATATTAGCATGAATGTCTCAAATTGCAACTTATGAAGTTTTAAAGTGAATTTAAAGTCTGCATTGAGTGTGATGCAATGAAAAGTTAGTGTACAGCAAAATAACACACTGTAAAAACAATCTGAAATTTATGGTAAAAAAATAAGCAGCATGATTTTCAGGATGTTGATATGGTACTGCAGAACACCAAAATACTAAAATATTCATCACATTTGTCTTTTCCACAAGCTAAGGGGAGTACTAACCTATAGAAGGTTTTTATCAGAGCATTTTTATAGTCTTTTACCATTAAAATTACAATCATTTTATACAGTAAAAATGTCTTTCTGTTGAGTTGTCCTCACGGGCTGCATGCAAAAACAGCCATACAGCGTGACCGGTGTTGTCCTATGCATGAACAAGTGACTCGTTCATGAACAAATGACTCATTTGAGCCAGTTCTTTTTAATGAATCAAAAACTTACAGCATCCTATTCCCGAGTATAGCCCACGGAGGGCTCCTGATTCCCCGTCGAGCCCAGGGAGGGCTCCAGATCCTCAGTTAAGCCCAGGGAGGGCTCCATATCCCCAGTTAAGCCCAGGGAGGGCTCCAGTCATTCAGTCAGAGGTTATGGTCCACGGAGGGCCTCGAAGCCCGAAATCTTCCCCAAGTATTTTTTGGGGGGGGCTGGGGCTGCAGCCTCGGAGGCTGCTTTGCCATGGCCTCCTGAGTCCCCTGATCCTGACACTTATTAGTTCCATTGACTTCCATTGATACGCATGATGCGAATGCAGAAGACAAGAAAAGCATGCAAATATTCCGAAGTTCACGTTTGGTGAACTTGATTTGTGAATTCGTATCATTGAAGACGTGTGACCATTAGAAGACCAATAGAAGTGGCTTCTCAGCTGAATTAAAGGAAAATAAACAAATCTGCTGGATTGCAGTGTTGCAGTAAAGTGAAGTAGACTACATGTTTACATAACATTTTGGATGTATTATATGTTGCGTTATGTTTATACACACATATATATATATATATATATATATAATATATATAATATTACGACCACTACAGTGTACATAGTAATTGAGTCTAGTTTGGCCACGCTTAACTTGTCTTGCAACTGTTGCTTCGCTAAGATAGTATTTGACCAGAGATAGAAAACCGCACTTAGAAAGACAGTTTAAGCTAATGCTTGCTATAGCGCCCCTTGTGGAGACACCGAGAATGCAACACATACTTGAATTTTGTTATGAATTCTGACACACATTGGTTTGTAACAGCGTGTGAAATCAAAGAATTTAACAGGATTTCAAAGGAAAAATTGAAATCGCATCATATGACCCCTTTAAGATTTCACAGCAAAGCCTCAGTTGACCATGTTTTCTACGCTGACATTCTCCACAACTTTCCATGCTTTGGCTATGCCGGCATTAGCATATAATGCATTTGTTCTTCGGTGCTGACTGCTCAATTCAACTTGTACTTGAGTCTTTATCAGCTGAAGCATGTCTGATTATGATACTGTCCGTGAGGGAGGGAGGGAGCGGGGTGGGCAGGGAACAGTGAAGTGTGTTAAAACGCATATGGGGATTATCTTTCCCCAGAGAATTCCTCTTTAATGCATGCTGTGCTCCAGCCTCTTGGAATTAGCCATCTTTAATCCTATTTGCTCAACTACATTCAAATTTTTTTCATAGCTTTGATTCCTTGTTAGTCTGCGGAACTATAGACTGTTACTGATGTCTGTGCTATTGTGCACAGACTGCGATAATTACAACTAAATCTGACGCATCCCAAAGGACTCGGGCTGCTAATGTCACTCGGTAAGAGCCGTTATGTTAAATTTGGTCATTTATCGGGGAAAAGTAAGTGCCTTGCTATCAGCTGTATCTGATAGGCATGGGAAACAGTCATGTGCATTGATTGTTGTTTTATTCTGGTGCTAGAATATTCAGCTGTATTGATTGTTCAAATATGCATAGATAATAGTCATATTGCATGACTAAGTCTAAGATATTTTTAGTATTTGTCTAGTTTGTGTTTGGTCTTTTTACCTATGTTAAGGTCTCAGCTAACTAACATGCTCTGGTTATATTTTAAGTTCAGACACCAAGTTCATTGACAAACTTATTCTTTCTTACAGTTCTATTCAAGTCATTGTTATTGTTTCTTTTATGATTTTTCTGTTTGCTGTAATATTTTCCATTTATTGCATATTCTTCCACGTCAGTTCAGTTTTTTTTAACTGTTGTTTTTTTTCTGAGATGTATTTTATAAGTAAATTCTGTTTAATTATTGTATATTCTTCCACTTCTAAATGAACCTAATTTTAAATGTAATTCTTAAATAAGACACTTTTTTACGAGTAGAAATGAAAAGTCATACATTTTCTTATAGGGAAACATGGCTCTATACTCTACATCACTATGTGATGTTAATTAACTTGTTCTTTGCAGTTTCTATTTTGTTCATATTGTGTTGAAACACCTTAGGGATATTTATGAAGCAATTAATGCTCCTATATTTTCATTCTCACACAACAGTTTTTGTTCGACATGTGAAATGTACTATATTTATGTGTGACTCTCCCCTGTCAACAGAAGCTGATCACACAAATTAAGACCACCCAGCATGCTACTGTAGCTTTCCAATCCAAATACTGTATCATTAATGAAATTGATAGAAACGTGCATGGTACTTTTGCTATTTTATGCTGTAGGTCTAGCGTAATTCATGATTTTATTGTAAACACTAATTTCTAAATTCCAGTGTACATTAACTGAGCAACAAGATGGAATATAAATGTTTAATAAAAGGGGAAATGTTTTAAATAAATGTCTTACAGAGAGAAAATATGCTGTTGAAACCTCGCTGAATCACCTTAGTCGTGTTTGAAAACAACTGATACATTAGCGTCTGATTTTGTGTGGGTTATATCAAAGGATAAAAAGGGCATGGCATGTACTCCGTAACCTTAACAGTATTTATGTTCAGTCAGTCGTTACTTATGCTAAGCTGATGATGTGCTGGTCATTCAACCCATCGAATGGCTGTCAACGATTAAAACACACTGCCTTCAATCCAAACACATGCTTTCATCTTGCCACAAACAATGTCTTACCACAGCGTTTTGGTTTTAGCAACAATATATACAGTACAGACCAGAAAGAAATAGAGTATAATGCGTATTTGAGTTATTCACTGTACCTATTAAAGTATGTGAAGGCATAATATCACAGTTTGTAACTTTGTAGCCAAAAGTCTCTGAAAAATGGTTCCCTTTTGATTTTTGCTCATTCATAAATGAGTAGAGGAGACAGTTTAAGAGATTAAAGGGATTTAATTCCTTTGATAGTTTAGTTTGGCTTTTTGGCCCTAATCCTGAAAACTGTAGTTTATATTTTTATCCATATTACATTTTAATTTAGTTCAACAACAGAAATATATATTGGAATCAAGTCATGATAGGTTTAGGCCAAGAAATTTCACAGACATTCAATAAAAGATGGACATCAAATACTTAAATACTTAAATATAGATAAAAAATAAATATAAAGGTTTAGATAATGAGAACAAGAAATAGTAAACAGTAACTTAGAAATATAGTAAAAGTATTTAGAAAAGTGTAGAAAAAAAGAGTAGAAACTTAGAAATATAGTAAAAGTATTTAGAAAAGTGTAGAAAAAATGAGTAGAAACTTAGAAATATAGTAAAAATATTTAGAAATGTGTAGAAAAATGAGTAGAAACTTAGAAATATAGTAAAAGTATTTAGAAAAGTGTAGAAAAAATGAGTAGAAACTTAGAAATATAGTAAAAGTATCTAGAAATGTGTAGAAAAAACAAGAAGAAACTTAGAAGTACAGTAAAAATATTTAGAAAAGAGTAGAAAATGAGTAGAAAGTTAAAAGTATAGTAAAAGTATTTAGAAAAGTATAGAAAGAGTGAGTAGAAACTTTAGAAATGTATACAAAAAATATTAGAAAAAATAGAGAAAGTGCAACTGATTGTGAATAAAATGCTTGAAACCACTTTAAACTAAGATGATACATTTGATACAAGATCTTTGATACATTTCTGCCTTTTAAATGGTTTCCCACTGAAATCTATAAATGACACATTTGAAGTTTTACAAGTTCCTGTTATACAAGAGGAGATGAAAGCTTTTCCTCTCTTTTTATGAGAATAAAACGGCAAACCATAAAAAAAAGCAGAAAAAGAAAGCTTTGAGACTGGCTGTCTCTGACTAGCTTAGTCGCCCCCTTCCCAAAGCGATGCGAAATTAGCTTAGGTGTACCAGGCAGAGCCGCTGGACTTGAAAAGTGAAAACATTAAGCTCAGATGAGTTTGCCTAAAGACTGATTGGCCCCTAATTAGCCAAGTGACCTTTGATCTTTTCAGAAATAAGTACAGGATCAGGTTTGGGAGCGATACAAAGACAAGAACAGTCTTAGCACACACCAAACGCTAATTCAGCTAAGAATGCCTGTAATTAGGAGTGCTTGTTTCATTCCAGCGCATATTTAATGCTGGGAAGAGGGAAAATAAGCTGGAAAAGTGGGATGTAGGATCATAGCCGAGGGATCAATTTCACCATTGCCTGTTCACAATATTTCAAAGAAAAACCACAAAACACAAGAAATATGTTTAGCGACACAGCTTATGGATTTGACTTTTGGCGCCGCCTAATACAGTTTCAGTGAAAAGGAGGTCTTAAACCTATAGTTTGTACTTGTCTGTGAAACTATTGACATTGTATCGTAATCCAAATCTGCTTCTAATAATATTAGGGGTGCAACGGTTCAACTTACTCACGGTTCGGTTTGTATCACGGTTTTAGAGTCACTGTTTCGGTACGGTTCGGTATGTGCTATGTTTAGGGGAAAAACTATATTGTCAAATAAAAATAACAGAGAGCTTAATATTTGCGCGCGTTCTGAGACGTGGGTTCACGTGCTTCGGATGAGCGACCACACAGATCTTCTCACTCTTTAATATTTAAACTGGCAAGGCTTAAATGAGTTTAGTTTAAACACAGATAGCAACGTGTGCTGTTCAGGTCTCACCTGCGTTATCAACACGTGATGACGGCATAAATGACAGTTATTCCAGCATAAAGCACTCGCATTGATTAAAGAGTGACTGGTTTGTCCACATATTGTTTTTTTTCTCTCTCATCGCTCTTGTTGTAATGTATTGGAAGCCAGAATTTGTATCCATCAACAGAAACATGCATTAGCCGAACTCTAACAAACCATATTACAGATGCATTGCCAGATTTAAGTTGAACCGCGGTCCTAGTGTA